CTGGGCACAAATTCGAAAGAACGCTGCAGAGAGGGCCGCTACTCGCCCTGACGATCAGCTTCGGCCGTCGTACAGTAACAGCAACAGAACCGGAGATGGCGACGACGATACAAGTGGAGAAGAGAGTGAGTCTACATGGAAATCTTGATACCGAATATTAAACTAACGCGATGTTCCAGCTATTGAATCTCGTGTTGCCCGCATCAAGGCTCGTGTAGCCGAGTTGACGAACAACATGGAGGGTACAAATGGTCCCCAGGCTAATGCCACCCGCCATTAGGTATCCCTCAGCGAGGCGGGCGATCTCAGCCCGAGGTGGAATTGTAATACGCCCTTCCTTCATTGCCGGCATGGACGAAGTCTGTCCTTTATACGAACAATCGCGACGACGTGACACATCTACGAGACACATTTCGCAATCCTTGCACACGTTTAATACCAGCTGACGCTGATTTGCTTTCTTCATTTTTCTCTGACCTCGTTTCTTATTTTTTGAGCTTCTTCTTTCTCGTTTGATATATGATACCACTAGAAGATGTAAGAAGAGAAAAGCAGCGAATCTTGACAGTTACATGAGAAGAACGAGGGGGTCAAGAAACCATGGACTGGGCTTTTCCTAGTGCCATGAAATCCTGTACTTACTCATATGTTTTTTCAGCCCAAATTCTAGCAAATCCCCTTCTCCAGCGTTTCTTATATATTTCTTGCTTCGGGGACCATCCTTAGACTCGCCAATGTTGGCATTAATGTGATAGCCTGTCCGAAAGTGAAGAATCCACGAAAGAGTTGAATATTCCAAAATGAAACTCTATATGTTGATGTACCTGTGAGTAAACTCCTAGTATTTTAATAGTTACAGTATTCACTAGCCTTACTTATGATCAAATAATATAAATATTTTGGTACAGATTCAACTTCGTCTATGATGGTCTGGCTCTCTTCCCTTTACCACGGCCTCTGCTTGTGGGCTCATCATCACCTTCATCGCCAACTTCTTCAGCATATTCCTCTTCATCTACTGGAGCAGCTGCATTCCTCCTTGATGCTCTTTTTCGCTTACCTCCATTCTCAGCACCCCTTGGCTCTTCGCCTGTAACATTTGCTCGCAAACGATCTACCGCTGCAGCCATACGTTTGCTTCCCCGGGCTTTCTGTCTTGGCGCAAATGCCTCCTTTGCTCCAACTCCAACACTGCCACCAAAAAATCTGGTGATGTTGCTCTGTGTACCTTCACGGTCTCGCTTGTTCATATCTTTGATGACTGGTACGAGGACCTCGTCCGTACGTTCTTTGCTCCAGCCAATGGTAGCCATCAAGAACTGTCGCAGTCCCTCTACATCTGGCACACCCCACTGGAAATTCTCATTGCTGTCATCAACCTCTGGATGTAGGTACGCATCATAAACCGCCGGGTTAGGAAAGCCTGGTGGTAAGAAGAGTTTGGTACCTTGAGATTTGCGAAACTTCTTGCGAAAAGGCGTCAAGACATCAGCGTCCTTAGGGCGTGTCTGCGATTGCACCGATCTCCACCATTCGCGAAAGTTCTCTAGTCCAGACTTGCCAGGAAACTCAGAGAGAATCTCAACAGCTGTTACAGGGCCGATACCTGGTAATCCCTCAGTGTAATCAGAGCCCAGCAGATGCGCAAGAGATATAAGTTGCTCTCGAGACAGGGAGAGCTCCTTTTCGATGTCGCCCACCAAGTAGCACTCAACAAATTTATTGCTATTAAACATGTTCTTGTACACACGTGTGCCACCGAACAAGAAGGTGTCCGAGTCATCAGTCACAATGCCATCGACAAGTCCTAGACGGACGAGCTCAGCACATTGAGCTTCAGCTTCCATAGGGGCGGTGATATAAGGAATACCAAAGAGACGAAGGAGAGCCTGGCACTCAGTAATCATGACTTGAGTGACCTCATCAGCGTCTCGGCGGTCTTTCTTCTGTTGGTTTCGTAGGGCTCGCAGTTCTCTTTCATAGTCTTCCTTGTTTTGCTCGGCTGTTTTGTTATTGAGCTCACTGGCGAAACGGGCATGTTCTTCGGCTTCCTCGGCCATTTGTGCCATGAGCTCTTCGTCGCCAGGGTCGCTGAATTCGTCGTACTCCACGTCGTCAAAAAGCCCATCGTCGTCGATATCAAGTTCTTGGTTTCCTTCCACTGCTGGGGCGTTGGTGGAAGGAATTTCCTCAAAGATAGACTCAGGGCTCTTTTCTGCCGCGGTCCCAGCATTGGTAGGTACCACATCTTCAAATTCTGGCTCAGGTGATTCTGATTGTCGAGACTTGTCCTCATCTTCTTGCGCTGGATGTGCAGTTGGTTCTTCCATTGTACGATCCGCAAGACCTTGGAATTCTGCTTCAGGTGATGGCTCCTTGGCCTTCTCTACAACTTGTTCAAGGGCATCTTCTTGCTCATATGCTAGAGTTGAAGCTTCCTCTGTCGATTCTGGCTTTTCAGTTTGAAGAGAAGCTTCCTTGATGTTCTCGACATCATCTTCCGGGTCGATGGTAATAGGCTCTTTCTGGGCAGGCTTCTTTGGTGATGGCGGCTTTTCCAAAACCTCGATATCACTATCATCATCTGAGGAAGAGTCGATGTGGATCAGCTGATCTTGCATCTTGCGGCGATAAATCCGCTCCTCTTCCTCGGCTGCCTGCCTGTCTGCGTTATTGATTTCACGCTCTGTTTCTTGCTGCTTCTTAAGCGACTCCCGGATATCGGTGTCATCAGTTAACCATGGCGGCAAGGGTCTGGGCGCATTGTCATCCTGCAGTTCTCTCTCAAACCCGCCAGCCATGTCGTCCTCTTGGTCATTGAGAACAGCTGGGTTTTCATCCGCGACTTCGGATTTCTTGTTCGGTCCAGCTTCTGGGACTTTCTTCTTTCCAAATAGTGACGAGCCCCAGTCAAGTTTCGGGAATGGCAGCGGGCCATCAAATGGGTTCCTCTTGTTCTCAACGACGGGTATAAACTTTGGTTGTGGCTGAGGCTTCTTTTTCATCCTGGCTTTTGCAAGCACTGTCTGCATATCTTCGTCGCTGTCGCTATCGGCAGGAGTATCATGCTCTTGACGCCTGGGCACCGCAGCGCTTGCTCTATTATTAACAATATGAGCAATCATAGAGCCTCCTTTGGCCGTGATGGGCTTTTGTGCGCCAACCGACTTTTGTGTCCATTTAGGCGCTTCCATGGGAACGTCCTCGAACTCCTCCTCATGATCTGACTCTTGTCCAACTCCATGTTGATTTTGCAGTGACATAGCTATTGCGCGGTTGAGGTCATCCTCTTCGTCGTGGTGCAGCGCTTCTTCGGGTGGTTGTGCAAACAGCACATCTGTATTCTCGATATTTCCGCCTACGAAGAGTGACTCCTCGCCCTGCGGTGAGGACTCTTGGCGATGGTTACCATATATTTGCCGCCGTCGTGCCGCTATATCCTGGGCTGCTTGGTAGCTAGCAACCTGTGCTGCGGAAGGTTTCGGAAGTCGATTGAGTCCCTCTATGGGAACGTCTTCAAAATCTTCGTCGTCTTCCTCCTCATCTTCCTTTGATTGGTACTGAACTTGAATGGCATCCACGTCGATAGGTTTATGTGCCTCTCCAACGTCCTTGTCTCTGCTGACCACACCCAAAGCCCATCCTCCCTCGGCACCCTCATTCTTTACCAGGATGTACTCTCTGTTCTTTTCGCCAGCAACTCGTGCATTTACCCCAAGTGTCAGGTCGGTGCCAGTCATTCCGACTTCATACATGAGACGTTGAGTGAGGTGATTGCGTTCCTTGACCCTTTCGATCTGGAACTTGGAGAAGGCCATGCGATCTGGGAACATTTCTTCCAGCTGCTCCTTGCTAAGACCCATTCTCAGTCGGCTCCTCAGTCTTGCTGCGTTCAGAATATTGTATCGATCAGGAGCTGGAAGACTCTTGAAGAATTCGCCATCAAAATCGATCTTGCTGAAGTCGTAAAGATTAATATCTTCACCTTCATGGAACTGGCGCGCGTATTCTTCCAGCTCTTCTACACTCATGATTCGTGGATCATCTGGCTTTCCCATTGCCGCGATACCGCCACCATCTAGATCCGGGAGATGGTAGGCGTCCTGCTTTCGAAATGTTCTACCCTTCCGCCTCTCATTTTGAGATAGGAGAGCCTCGTCATCGTAAACAAGTTGACTGGCATCAGGAATCACTTCTTGTTGCTGCTCTTCCCGGGCAGATATATCACGTTCTCGATCTCTCCGCCTACGGTCATGGTCTTCTTCCGCAATGCGCTGCATTTGCACTGCTAGCAGTTTACCCGCCGTTCGAACGGCATCTTCACGGCGACCTTCGCGTCTTCGCTTTCGATGCTGAATCGTCTGTCTCTTTAGAATCGGTGCGCCACCGTCGAAGACGAATACTGGTTGAATACCAAACCACAGAAGCTTGCATATGCGACGGAAGAAACCGACGACGTGCGAGTTGCGCAGCGCATTGCCTTCTTTGTCGCGTACAGCTTTGAGAAATTGATATATCCAAATTGAGGCATCGACTGCGAGTCGTTTGCGATTTAGAGTCGCGAGGTTCGTCGGTCGGGCGCATGGCTGAACAACTGTCCATAGACCGGTCACACCCATGATAGGCTATGACCGTGAATTCAAATGCAAGTCCGTATAATAGGGAGAGGCACAAGGCCTTATGTTTAAGGGATACGCCCTCGTCTGATGAGAGTAATGCTCATTGTCTGGATGCGTAGAAAAGGGAGGGTCGATGATTCTACAATTGGATTGGCATGAAAATGATGAGAATGGGAAGTCCAAGATCTAAGAAAACAAATAGAAGTTCACGGTTGCCTTCAGCATCGAGCTTCTATAACGTCAGCGTGGGGCCGATATATCGCCGCTATTGCCGCTAACCCTTCTGTTCGCAAAATCAACGAACATCACGTTCTCCACGTCTTCGCTAATACTACAATTTACAACACTCAACCCTCTGCTCCCAAGCCTTCTTGAGTGGAAATGGACACTGAAAAGGCTCGAGAATATCTCAGCAGTATTCTCAACAAGAACCTTCGCGTGTACACCTCCGATGGTCGGTTGTTCTGGGGCGCTCTGAAATGCACCGACCCTGTATGTTTCAATACCCTACAGCTGTTGAGCCTCGGTTGTAAGCGACGAGCTGACCTGACCTGACCTTAAAAGGACAAGAATATTGTGCTGGCTCACACTTATGAATATCGGCAGCCATCTTCAAGAGAGCGTGAAAAGGCAGCAGAGAAAGCTGATGGGGAAACTGTCAAGGTCGACATGACATCTCGCTACTTAGGTCTGGTTGTTATACCCGGGGAGCACATTGCCAAGATGGAAGTCGAGGAGTTTGCGAGTCAAATGAGGAACCAGAATATCATATAATGTAGCGGCCAGGGGAGGTCAAGAAAACCCGGGATCTCGATCCTAAATAATAGAAAAAATTATGTAACTTATTATATGTTTAGAATATCTTCACCAAGTTTAGGATACCTTTGCTAAGCTTAGGATGCTCTTATTGAGTTATTTTGACACCTTACATCAAGACCTGATATATGGATAAAAGAGATAAAACTAATGAATTAAAACTACAACAAGGCTACCGCAAAAGAAAGTTATCATACCCATTCAGCCTTTTGCAACCCGCCCAGCCTAAAGCTACCCACAACGCCTTGTACAACCAAGATTGCGTTCCCATCATTACTACCGAACGTGAGGAAAGCAGGACATACGCTCGTCCTCTTTCACATAGCCTGAATGCAGTACTTTGTCACATCAATCGTGAGCACGTTCTACGCGGCGACGGCTTCCTGTGTACGTCCACGAGACTCGCCGTTCAGACCGCCATCGCTGTCCAGAATGGAGCCTCGGGCATCCTCATCCTCCTCCTCCTCGTCGCTGTCAAGATCACGGTCTCGAGCAGTCCAGGAGCTACCATCGTTCAAGGGTACATCTTGACCGGAGAGATCGTGGCCCTCACCTCGGCGGATGTTGTTACGACGTCGCTGAGACAGAGTGCGGGCGCGGGTAGAGAGCTTGGAAGAAACGACAGCGTTGGAAGTAACCCAGTTCGTCAGGGCATCTTCGCAATCTTGAATAATAGCCTTACTAGCTTCATATCCATCGTACGCCTGGCGGGTTTCGCCGGGAGTGACCGGGGTGTCATCGATGAGCTCGAGGAGGTGTTTTCCATAGCCAGCAATAATGGCAACCTTCTCACAATGCTCACGGAGAGCATCGAATTGGTAAGTATAGGCTGCCTTCACCTTCTCTCGAGTGATGTTGGAAAGCTGAGCCTCAGCAACAAGAGACTCAGCCTCAGCTCGGACAAGTTCCTGTTCAAGGACGACAATCTTGGGAGAGTTGGGCTCCTTGTACTTGAGTTGGGCGATCTGATCGGTGATCTTCTGCTTGCCTGAGCCGGGGTTAGTAGGCAATACGCCGTCCAGGTGGTGAGCGGTACTTACGGTCACGACTTGGCTGAACTGAAGCTTCAATGTTGCGGATACTCTTCATGGTAACCCTATACTGGTCGTAACGGTCGACGTATTGGTCCTCGAGCTCGCCAATCTCGTACAGAAGGACACCGAGCTTGTCGGTAACGTCGGAAACATCTTCGTCACCAGCCTCGCCCCAAATAGATAGTTGTTGCTGTCGAGTTAGTTTCAATGGTTCGTAGGATTGGGGTATTGGGAACATACAGCAACTTCCATTCGCTCACGGGCGACGGTCTCTAAGCTTCGCATCACATTTTTCTCCATCTTGACCAGCTGGGAGAGCTTCTTGGCCAGGTCCGGGCCAAAGGCACCACCAGCATTGCGGCGAAGGGCATGTCCTGCGCGGGAGGTCTTGTTAGTTCTGTTGGAATTGACAGTCGAAGTGGCGTGATGCTAGCTTACCGAAGCTGCTCTTGAAGAGGCGGCCGGATTTTGTCGACGACGGAGGTGGCGGGGGGTTCTGCTCAAGGTCAGTCAGTTTTGCTGTCGCATTGAGCTGTGGCGTCATAAGCTCGAATTGCACGCACCTGGAGTTGAGAGGCAGTAGGCGCCCGGGTCTGGCGCATGGAATAGGTGCGATGCATGATGAATGCTGTTGTTTATGAGTGCGACGAGCGGTGGAGTTGAGTATGGATGATAAGAAAAAGGGTCCAGCAAGGACAGGCAGGGAATAAATAATATCAGGTGGGGATTAACGTGGGTGGGAGACGGAGATCACAGCTGCAGAGCTGAGAATCAAGCAAGGATAAGATGTCGGAGAAAACACGAAGGAGAAGATCGTGGCCGGGCTGCTGGGAACGTTATATGATGGAGGCCAGAAACAGGGCAAGGCTTGGGCTTGGGCTCTGGTGGTGATTGTTGCTGCGGAGAACCAAGATCGTCACCTTTTTCGATGCGGGAGCTGAGAGCGACGTCATCAAGACTCCACTTGGACAAGAACGAGTGAGTGAGGTCTTCGATACAGACGGGCGCTAGCATCTAGTGTATGTCTACAACGCAACCCCTGGTGATCGCAGCATTACTCGAGGTACTGCTACTTACGTCAAGCGTGTCTCAGGTCTACGTCGTGCATTCTGCGGGCCTGGGCCAAGGATCCTCACCTGTGCATCCGGAGAGACCCCCCCCCCAGGCCCCCAAAGAGCTGGACTGCCCATCCCGGATGCGGTTCACGACCACCAAGCTTCGGTCGAATCCAGCGCAACGCTAGTGAGTGTCTAAGATGAAATATGACGATATCGAGGCACAAGTTTGGGGTCCTTTGGAGGTCAGTGGGTGGGTGAACGGGCTCTAAAACTGAGCGATCCTCCGGCAGTCTCCAGCCCGAAAGATAAAGGAGACAAGGGGTAATTGAGGCAGCCCAGAAACCAATTACCGCAAGGGCCCTTTTCACATGTTGTGGTTGGGTTAGTTCCGATCTTGATGTCAGTCGTTTCGCGAAACAGGGTCTTTTCCAAAGTTGAGAGCACTTTCTCGAAGCAGTATGGACTGATCTGACGAGGCTGCGCAGTGTAAATGATATCAAGCCTGGTATGCATGTATTGGATTGCATAGGCAATAGGATAGAAGGATGGATATAATTGGCTATCAAAGGCTTCAATAAAGTGCCAAGCATATGTTGTTAAACTACCGGAGCCAAGACAATATTTCCTTTGCCTTACTCATTACGTCGACTTTTGGTCGTTTTTTAGCGACCAGTTGGATCGCAGCTTAGTAGCATCCGGCCATTCCGATAATCACAAACCTGACTACGGTATTAGATTGATCCTCACGTGAGACGGCCTATTACCTCCAAGATATATCAAAACTCTAGAAAAGAGACAAATACAGGGACATGCCTCCTAAATCAAATTACTTACCTATACAGTTTGATTTTGAATCATGTTGTCTATGGTCCTTTTCAGTTTGGACGTTCCACGATTGCTCTGGTTAGGGCACAGCATATCCAGCTTCTATGAGCGACCATGCTTGAGTAGCGTCGATGCATTATCAACGACTATAATAGAGTGTGATATCAAACTCACATGTGAGCGGGATGGAATCCACAATCATAAGAAAACAGTGCCATGACGGTTCGCTTCAAAGAGGGAACAAATACACACTATCTATGTAGTATGTAAAATCGCCCTCCACTTAAGGTCATGACCAATCCAGCCACGCTAAGCCGGATTAACGAACGCGACCCCCTGTCAATGTCCCCTGTAGACTCCTCAACGCGTGCAATTGACACTCATTCACCCATTCAACTAATTATTCATCTCTGTCTTGGGTTTGAGTTTCGAGAGACAACAAACCGACAATCGAGGGCACTCATGTCTTTTGTACAAGCCCGTCGTATGTAATACCATTATCTTACTCTCTGGTATTCAGTTTCTTTGGCTTCCTCGACCTCTTCTGCGCATTTTGCTCCTATTTTCTGCCGAATTTGCACCTTTAATCTGTCCACACGCGTCTCTGGCTGGGTCGACAAACTCGTGTTTCCTTCTCCCGTCTCATTTATTACCTATCTACAAAGGTGCTCTCCACAGCAACATCAGCACGAATTGCAGCCATAACCTATCTTCCTTTCTCCCCCCCCCTTTTTTTGGTGTCCATCAGCGACTCCTCTTGTGCAGGATGGTAGCAGTTGCTGGCTACCTTACTTGTAGAGAGGGGCAGTTCTGGTAAAAAACCTTTGGCAGTTCGCCTTCCTTACCAATACGGGCGGTTGTACCTTGCCTTAGAGTTTGGGGCAAAGTCATCAGCCGCAACCATGGCCTCTCATCACCTCGTCGCCATCGTCGCAGGAAAACCTGACACCATCGACTTGACAGGAGACAGTGATTCAGACTACGAAGCACATTCTCTGGCGCCTCTGAATCGCAACAACACTACTACAGCGCGCTTCACCCCCAATTTTTCTATCTCAAGTGAGCGCCCATCATCAACCAATGCTCCCGTCAGCCCGCCCAAGTTGAATAGATCTACGAGCTCTATCGCCGCCAGCCAGGATAGACAACCCTCCGCTTCTGCTGAGCCGCCACGCCCAGCATCTTCAGTACTCAAACTGAGCCAGAAGGTGACCACGATAACGGCTAATTCTGATGACGCCCAAAGTATGGCAAAGCTGTCTAGTGTTGCAGCCTCCAACTTGGCATCTCGTCAGGTGACGCCCACGCCTGAAAAAGACGATTCAGAATCAACGCAACAGAGCAAACCGGCATCTCCTAAATATCAAACGCCTAAAAAGCAGGAATGGGATGTCGCTGCTGTTGTCGAGAAGCTGACGCAGTTTCGCCAAGATATCAAGGATGGACACTGTCGCATGACCTCTTATATCATTGAGTCCACCAAGCCTAATGAACGTCGTGTTATGACAGGCAAAAACCTCTTCGCCGGACTTGTAAACAAACCTGTCCCGTCCAAGAAGGGAGAAACGATGAGAATCAAATCCAAAGTACTTTGCGCCCCAAACGAATCCAAGTGAATTCTGCTAATATTCTCAACAGGAACACACGAAGCTTAAGAACAACAAACGTGAGGATCACTACAGCATCGTACGCATCCAGACAGATGAAGAGCGTGTCCCAAGATACCGCTTTCATCACGTAGAAATCAAAAAGAATATTCTTACTCCCAACACAATGCTAACCTTTGTACCCCACTTGAGGGATCTTGAGACCTCGGAGGAGTACAAATACAATGTTTGGTTGCAAGAATTGGAGGACATTGACCGCAAATCTGGTTTCAAGCCTATGAGTCGCGAGGAGAAAGTGCGCATAGCAGTGCGCTCCGAATTTGCATCGACTGTCTTGTTATATCTTGGCACTTGGCTCGACAAGCTCTCAATACCTGGCTGTACCAGATCAGCTCTTATTCGCTTCATGGCAAGTCGAGAGCCTGACGATGCGA